TTTTTTTTATTAAAGTGAAAGAGAGGAGTAACTTTCATTTTTGCGAAGAGAAAGCAGCTTAGCGCGCGATACGCTGCGAAAAGATAGATTTAGAAAAACTGGCGCGACGTAGCCTGTCAGAAAAACTACATCTCTAACAACGGTTAGCATTCCGATTTCCAACAGTAGAACCAAAGGAACTTTGCCCCCAACAAAAGGGCTATGGGAAATTTTAGTCCAGGACGATAGGAACTACGAGACTGGGTCTGTCGAGTAGCTTAGCGTTGGTGGGTGGCAGGAAGTAGAACGGCCCTCAGCAAAGGATAATTATGGGTTTCAAAGAGCCACAGACCAGGTAACAGTACTGTCATTAAGCAGGCCATCATTGAACAGAAATTTGCGTTAGCAATAAAAAGAAAGGTCATAAGTTACGTTAAGGTTACGACATTGCAACTTTTGTTCGATGTCCAATAGGGCTTAACGCGCCGTTCAGCACAATCGTTGAACCTTGGGCTGGTGGCAATGAAGACCTCCACCCACTAATCAAATAACGCAGGTAATTATCCCTACATCAAGGCACCAGGCGTGATCACGGTTGGGCTATCGACGACTTAACCGAGGTTTAGATAACCGGAAGGTTTGGACATGCCAATGGTCACTGATGCCGAGAGACAGAGCTTCCTGAGCAACAATAAACGCCAGGGGCTACATTTTATTTACGTCGCGACTAAAAGCAGAAGTTATGACCAAAAACAAGCGCATATATCCTGTGGGAAATGTCCGTGGTGAGCTTATTGCAGCTAGTAAGGACAGGCGACCTTCCTCATGTAAAGTAACATGGAAACGGCAAAAAAACTTAGGGATGAGGATCTAAACAGGGCAAAAACCGAAGAGCCCCGAAAGCCAAATAGCACCATGAAAAAGATTACACTTTAATGAACGAAAGGCAGTCAGAGAGCTAAGAATTACGACAACATTCAAGCCTAAACGTACTCCGATAAATTGACAAATTTCAATCACCTTCGTCCACAAACACGAACTTTGCTGCGGAGCTTATGGAGACCTTGACAATAGCAACTTGGGACGCAACTTAATGAAGACTTCCCACTAAGTGATTGTGTAGTTGCTGCATTTTACGGTATCAACTGTGTGTCCCACAGAATGGATGCAGCGGTTACCCACGCGTGAGTCGGTGTATAAAGAGGCAACGCTGTGCAGCATCCTATTAAACACTATTCTCTCATCCGCCTTACATGGGTAGCAGAGCAATGTGAAGACAACCAGACATGGGCGTAGGCACAGTGACCGAAAAGGATAAACAATTTGCCCACTATAATTCGACCGTGCTCCACAGCAGGATTTTGCAGAGACGGCGACTTGCGCTGCATCTGCCTCGCTATCCGTTTTACTCCCTCCGAGGACCCAGTGTCTAGATAAGGTCAAGAAAAACGGAGATAGGAAAGGATGTAGCTCCACGAACCGCGGCTCACCACAAATAAGAAACAACAGGAAGGGGGGGCGACTCAGATCCCAGCTGAGTGAGAGTGCCATAAAAACCACATTAAATAGCCATTGCAACGTGACTCTTAATCCGCCATTCCGAGCTAACGCACACTGGGCTGACCACACGACTCGAGTTACCCAATCAGTTGGCAACCTTTTAAGTAACAACTTTTAGCCCAACGTGATAGTTTTAAGCGCGTCAGATTGTTTATGATGCGAAGGATGTGTTGAGCCGTAGACCACAGTCTTTTTTCCCGTCCAAACATGCGGCATACAACATGGTACCAGACCACCTGTGAGGCTTCTGAGAGTGTCATAAAGGTCACGTTGACAAGCAGTCACCGCAACCTTACTCTGAGTCTTTAAGAGCACCAAGTTATCTTGCATGTTCACAGCTTTATAGACCACTGCCTTTAGCGCGTTGTGATATGCAAGTAGATGAAAATTTATTATAATGAGGAGTGTACTGATCTACCGTAGAGCTGGCCAACGAAGAGGGAGCGAAATGACGTGCTTCGATGTTGACAATGAATATGACAGTAGAGAGCTCTGTTCAGAGATCTTGGTCAGATTGAGCTAAAGCGAACTTAAGAGTCAGACGTCCATCGTCAGGGCTGAGGAAAAAGACCGAGAAGAAAAAACAGAGGGACCCGCTGTAGGTAACAACCAGCCGGGTTGACTCAATCCAATTGTTCAAGAAAACGAACCTGCAAAACACACTGGCTCCTTACAAACGGACTGGTGGGGG